TTCACCTGATTAAGTTCATTCGATCAAACTCATCTGATTAAATTCAAACGAGTAACTCCATCTGATTAAACTCATCCAAATAAATTAGTCTGATTAAATTCATCCAATGAAAATTATCTGGTTAAGCTTCGACGTTCCAAACTCCGAATCCGAAAATTAATCATCTTGCACGATTTAAATCCGATGTAACTGCTGAGTTTGAACAAATCCTTTTGCAAACTAATTCGTACCCGATAATAAAATCGGCGAATATGGTCTTAAACGAATAAGCAGAGAGATCCGATTAAATAGCAAAACAAACTGTCCTCCGCATGGATAATTCAAATCGTATCTTGAATGATTTAATTCGGTAGCCTGAATCAACTCGACTGATAATCATGATCCAACCAACAAAGGTTCATTTTAAATTCAACACGAACCGAAATTCCACTGTTTTCTTCAAAATCGACTGGTAGGTAGCAGAAAGTAGGAAAATGTACGTCTGTTAAAATAAGTTCTTCAAAGAACATTCTCGCACCAATTTAACCTAAATTCGTTTATATTGCAACGCCCTCAGCTCCATATAGTTTATGAATCAACAAGCACTTCTAAAATCCACCTAACGAATAAATCTCGGCTCTTGAGTAAGATGTAATGTGTCACGAGAAATATGACGTAAAATTGTCGTAAAATTCAGCTCATCCTCAAATAAGCCACATGACTCGGAGATGGAAACTCTGATCACTAGAGGAACTCCTGATGACGACTTGGCTTCATGAATTGTCTATAGACTACAAACTAATGACCATCTTGCCCTTCACCAATTAAATCGCACACAACGTGATTTTCCTGCGCAAACCAGCAGACTGGGCAAACCGGTTAGTGGTTAGATACAATACAATGCAGAATGAGATGAAATGCGAAATGAACCTAATAATCTAAGGGAAAAGTTTGGGGTATTACAGTTGCCCCTATTTAAATAGCTTCACCGGATAATTTGAGTGACGGAGACTCGAGAAATCATAGTGAAAGGGATTTAAATACAGATAACCGAAATTTTTTCCCTTAGATGCAGCGAGATATAATGCTATGAACAAAACGAAAACAAACTATAATGCTGACCATGCCATAAATCTAGTATGATGACAATGATAAATGTAAGGATGCAGACGACACGACGACACAGGGGGCAGACGTGACGGGTAACTGTATCGGGGAATACGACGCACTAGGAAATAGTACGACAATGGGGAATTCTAAAGTGATGGTCAACCGGTGTGAGCGCGACCAATTGTCACTTTAGGAATAAACGGTAATGGGATCCTCAATGGAAATGGCACCGACGAGACGACCTCCACTAGGGAATATCCAAGAGTAACTGTTTAACAGGCTCGGGTGTGACCGGCCGATACTCTGGGATAAAAGGTAAAACTGGATCCGCACGGCTGTAGGATCAAGTAACCAGAATGCTGGAGGATTAAGCAAGAATAACATCTGAGCTTCTGGAACTCTTTGCGTGACGGGATCGAACGGAACTCTTTGTCAGCTTCGTCGGGCGAGTTGGTCTCGCTGGGTCTTTTCTGGGAAAGCCCAAGGCGTGTTTCCACTGACTTGGCTCATCCCTAGTTCGATGGGTGAACTCGCCCTCAGTTCGTTGGGCGACCATGACAGTTTGCAGAAAAATTGTTTAATTCTTGTTTTTACGATAACTCGAGAACTGTAACTCCGTTTGACGCACGATCGGAAGCGTTGAAAAGCTATTTAAATGCTCTATTTTATAGTGAATTAGAAACATGGATATATTCCATTGATGGATAGGATAGTGATGAAATTGAAGTGAAATATACCTATGAGATATAGGTATCTGTGACCCGTGTCGGTAACCTACGTATAAGGCTAGTTGGGGAAACATACCTATGAGATAAGTGTCAGTGACCTGAGTCGATAACCCTAAGTATACAACTTTTCAGGGAAATATGCTTATGATACAAGGATCCGTGACCCAAGTCGATAATCCTAGACCTAGGGTTTGTTAAGGAAAATGCCTTGGCATGGTTTCCGATTAGTGATTGTTTGAGTTGATGAACTCAAGAGACATGTTCCCATACATTATGAATATCCTTTAGACACTTAAGTCTTAGTTATCTTGTATGATAATTGTTGGTGTGCTAAAGCAGCAAGCAAAAAATATTAAGTACCCAGTTTTATCGTCTCCACAGGGATTAGTGCGATATGAACGCCGTTTAACGACCTCTACATTTCTAAGCTTATTGTTCAAAAGTTTTGGTTTAAAAGGTTCAAGGAACCACAAATAAAAACAGAAAATATAAAATAAAGACTGAAATATAAACGGAGCCTTGTTGGGATTGGATTTCATCAATTGATAACATATGCATTCTTCTGATCAAATTAAACACAACGCAATCATTCGTCTAATACCCTTACGTATCACCCACGACAAAGCTTATCTCTAACGCAGCGTCGAGAGAACAACCATGTTGTCTCGTTGGTGATCTCTCATCCAACAAAAACACAACACAGAGCATTACGAACTGATACTCACGCAAATGTTAAGCCTAAACCTATCTCTAGCATTTAGGACCTAACAGGTAATCATCCTAGATCCATATCTGAAAAGTATATCTCTATCACAGTTCAAATTAAAGATAAACAGATAAATAAAGACGGCACCCATATCGGATAAACTATTGTTTTGCATAAAACACAATGATCAAAATACGTACACACGCTTGACCCTTTTTTACATGTATTCACCTAATCCTCTAAATGGTTGTGAACATCGTTTTTCATCACTATTATCACATACCCACACAATATCATATTGATCCTACTTATGCTACCCATGTTACTTAATCAACACAACACCATAGAAGATACAATGAATATTAACATACAAAACCATGTCAAAAGTTTGTTCATTGATAGAATAAAATTTGAGATCAAAGATGTGAAATGGTTTTGTCAAGACCCACAAATACATAATCAAAGATAATCAATCAAAAGAGAATCCAAACTAGTTCACAAACATAAATTAGATGAAATACATAAGGTATCAAAAGATTACATCCAAACTCCAACAAGAGATCAAAGATCTTACCTCCTCCCTCTTAGGGTTTTGTTTCTCTCTCTAGAATAGATGAAGAGAGATGAGTTCTGATGTTCCAAAATGTTACAATATATAACTTTTTCTAAAAAGCAATAAAAAACACTTAAATAACCCATTCAGGATCTGCTACGCTCGCCTAGCGAGCAGATCCTTCGCCTAGCGAGCACTTAAAATTGGCACGTGATGTGCTTCTGATCAGTAAAAACACCTTGAGACATTTCCAGATGTTCGCTAGGCGAGCAATTCCTTTGCCTAGCGAAGCCTTCGCTGCGAGCTTCGCCTAGTGAATGTATGGTCTTTTTGGTTCTGTCCAAGTCTGGGAGTGTTCGCTAGAGCTTCGCTACCACTTTTCCTAGCGAGCACTTCGCTACCTCCCTCGCCACAACGAATTTTGATCTTTTTGCTACTGGAAGTGTTCGCTGGAGACTCGTTGCGTCTTCGCCTAGCGAGTGCTCGCTACTCCCTCCCCTAGCGAGCTTGCTGTTGTTTGCATGTTGTCTTTGTTTCTTTGTCAATTTCTTGTGTCTTAATTTTCATCTGTTTTGTGCCTAATTCCTGCACAATAGCACACAAATCAAAGGTACCAAGAGATTTTCACAATAGATTGTAAACCAAACAAAGCAAGAGTGGATTTCAACACTTTTTTGACAAAAATGAGTGAAAGATGTCAATATTTGATAGATCAAATAAGTGAAATTTGGCATCTAACAATAATACGCAAGTAATGAGAGATAAATACTTGAGTTTGAATTTGATTAGAACCCTGTAGAGCTGAGTAAACCAATAGGATAGGGGAACTCACTGAGATTATTATCTCACTCCAATATTGTTGTTATTTTTCAGGTATTGTTTGCAGGTTTAACATACAAGAGGAGCTATTGATTAATGTTTTAAAGGATGCAGTTTATTGTGATCTTTCGCTGTGTATCTTGTACAATGCCAAATATTGTACTTAGATCTTAAATTTTTATTTTTGGCATTTTCCATATCTTGTATCATATGATATGTTTAATTTTGTATTATTGGTCAAGTATGTAAATGATGCCAATAAACAGTTATGATTGTGTCAGTATCAAATAATAACACTTGTATGATATTATTTTAAATATATATTATACGAGTTGTTACAATAAATTTATAGATACAACTCTATACAAGCAAATCATTGACTCAATAGCATATTTGTGCAACACAAGGCCATACATCTATTATAGTGTTAACTTTTTAAGTAGGTTCATAGAAAAACCTAAATGATGTCACCCAATAGATGTTAAAAGGATATTAAGATATATGAAAGGCACAACTAATCATAGTGTGCTAATGACAAACTAGCGAAACACTAGAAAGAAAAAAAAACTATGACCTATGTCTATTTTGATTCAGACTCTAGAAGATATCAAAATGATAGAAACAACAATACATCCCATTTATCCTTGATTTGAAAATTAATTACTTACCACATAAATTAATTATGAAGTTGTTAAGTTTTGATGGAAGCTGGCTAAGTTAATTAGCCATTAAAACTATCACTTTTACATAAGCTGTATTACCCGTTCATATAACTAACTTCAAATTCCTAATTTAAATACAATACTCCTTCAATCCAATAAGCTGACAGTCTTCTCATTCAGTAATTATTGTTGCTTTTTATTCATTCATATTCAAGCTATCTCAACAAGAAGTCACTAAAAAATAAAGGAGAAATGGATTAGCATTGATTTTTGTAACAAATATGACGTATTTCTACTATATGTTGAACTTGAAATTCATTTTTAATCTTTTCACTATATGCGTTGACATGAATTTTCCTGGAAGCAACATTCTCATACTATATTGCTTTTATTTGGCTTGAGAGGATGAAAGAAAAACCCTTGAGAAATCAAAACCTAGAGTCATGGCAGGGTTGGTTGAAGGGGCTCTTCTTGGTGCAGTGGTTCAAGAAGGGGCAAAACCCATCACAAACCAGATATCCAAAGCTTTCCATTTCAAAACCACCCGCAAAAACCTAGACTCTCTTGTGGATCGTCTCATGCCATTTGCCGAAGAAATTAAACTGTTAGACGAGGAAACAGATCCTCCAAACAAAGAACCAGAGAGGCTAATACAAGAACTGAAACAAGGGAAAGAGTTGGTTAACAAATACTGCAAAGTCCCCTGGTGGAAATTTTGTTTTCTACCTTTTTACCAAGAAAAGCTTCATGCTATGGAGCAGAAAATTGTTAGATCCATTACCCTTGTTACCGCAATTAGTACGGCAAGGGATGTTAGAAAAGCAAACTCTTTAGTCACTGGTATGAAGGGGAGACAATTCAACAGGTTGTGTGATCCTCCTGTAAAACCTGATCACACTGTTGGGTTGGATTTTCTTTTGAATCATTTGAAGAATTGGGTGCTCGGTACAGACGAGTCTGTGCGCGTGTTAACTGGCTTGCCTAGATCCGGGAAAACCACTTTAGCTACGCTGCTATGTTGGGATGGTCAAGTTAGAGGTAACATATATAACTCTCAATTGAAAGCGTATCACTTTAACTACTTGTGTTTATGTATCAATGTTGTGTTTGATACTCCGATATACTTTAGTGCTTCATAGATAATTACTGAATAGTGGACCAACCAACCTCATTCACAAGGTTGCAGTGATTCCCGTGGTCATGTTGCGATATTTGATATTACCGAAAATCATGATAAAGTACAGCTGATGTGATTTCTATTTTTGTCATGACAAATTTGATAACTATGCTGTCACGGCTCAAATTGGACTTGAAAACTTATTCAAAACCTTATTCATTCATTCATAATGACAAGTTTTTTTGCAAATGGCAAGAAACATGATATATAAGATACTTTTGTTTGTTTCTTTGTTTTGACTAGGTAAATTTGGAAAAAATATATTGTTCTTGTCAAAAACTTCGAATGCGGAGAACATTGTGCAGAATTTGTTTCAACATTGTGGACATGATGAGCCTTGCCTCGTAGACGACGGGGATGCAGTTAAACAATTGAGTAGTTTGCTGAAGAAAATTGGGGGAAATTGTCCAGTGATGTTGGTTCTTGATAATGTTTGCCCAGGTTTAGAATCCTTTGTTGAGACATTACAGGTTCAGGTTCCATTTTGTAAAATTTTGATAATTTCTAGAGTTGTGTTTCCACGGTTTGAAACGCTGTGCTTAAGGCCACTTGGCATTGATGATGCGGTAACCCTTTTCCGCCGCTTTGCACTACCAGATGATGGAAAAAGAGGAACTTATGTTCCTGATGATGAATATGTACGACAGGTTAGTTATATCTGTCCCATTAGTCTTAACGTTTTATCACCAAGGTTACATTTGGCTGAACATTTTGTCAAATTTGTCTTGTGTGTATATAATTGTGTTTCTCAATATATAATCATAGAAAGTATGGGTGGTTTACTTACACTGAAATTGTAGCAAGATCTCAATATGATCAAACCCTAAATAGTGCTTGCACTCAATCTCAGGTAGCAAACAGTTGCTGGGGTTCTCCAGGGACCCTTAAATTGATAGGTGGGTCACTCCGTGGGCAACCTGTTGCGGTGTGGAAAAAAATGGTGAAGTTGTTGTCCAAAGGTCATTCTATTGCTTGTTCTAATCCTAATTTGCTTAATCTCCTGCAAAAAAATTTGGAGGATGCTTTGGAAAATAATCCCATCATCAAGGAGTGCTTTATGGACCTTGGATTATTTTTTGAAGAGAAAAAGATACCTGTTGCCGCCCTCATTGACATGTGGACAGAACTGAACGACCTAGACGACGACAACATAGATGGAATGAACTTTGTTCATGAGTTAGATAACATGAATTTGGCTAATATTGTAGTTGCAAGGTACATTTATAACTACTTTTTTTCATTATTTTAATTATAGTTATAATTTTATATTTCTCTTGCAATGCTTAATATAACAGAGTCACAGTTAAATATTATTGTTTGTTCAGCTTTTATAAGAATCATGGAATTCAAGAAATGTAAAATGTTAATATAAAGAAGATATTTTACGGGTGTATAATATATAGTTATAACATTTGCTCATCAACCAGGAAAGTGACAAGTCACGTCGACAATTACTACAACCACCATTTCCTTACTCAATATGACCTTCTTAAGGAGATAGCTCTTATTCAAGCCAGAAAGAAACCATATGAACAAAGGGAGAGATTGATTTTTGACATTAATGAAAATAGTTGGGATCGACAAAACCAGCAAAATACCAATGCTCGCGCGTTGTCCATATCAATTGGTCAGTTAACTATTCCGCTCTAAAAATACATACATATTTGTGCGCGCACACATACAATATTTTCACTCCTGACACCATATGTAATGTTCTTGCAGACAAAATGTTCACCCCAGATTGGAGCAATATTGTGAAAGTTGAACAAGTTGAGGTTCTGATCTTGAATCTTCATACTGATAAGTATACCTTACCAGATTGCATAAGGAAAATGACTAAACTGAAAGTTTTGATAATCACCAATTATAACGGTTTCAGCTTTGCTGAACTAGACAATTTTGAGATACTTAGTTGTCTACCCAATCTTAGAATAATCAGATTGCAACAGGTTTCAGTTCCTCCCCTTTGCACATTGAATAGTCTGCGAAAGTTGTCCCTTTACAATTGCAAAACACAACATGATTTCGGAGTTTCAATTTCAAAGATACTCCCAAATCTGGAAGAACTGTGTATTGATTATTGCAAAGATTTAGTAACACTTCCTGTTGGGCTTTGTTATATTACTTCCCTCAAGAAGCTCAGTATCACAAGATGCATAAACTTCCTTGCGCCGCCGCAAGAAATTGGAAACCTCGAGAACTTGAAAGTATTAAGACTTAGTTCTTGCGCTGAGTTGGGGGAGATACCAGCTTCAATTGGAAATCTTCATGAGCTGCATTTTCTTGATATATCAGGTTGTGCAAGCCTTCACACTTTACCAGAAGAATTTGGAGACTTGCATAATCTAAAAGAGCTTCATATGACTGGGTTTTCAACAGTGCCAATGTCAGTCACAAAACTTGAGAGTTTAAAGTATTTAATATGTGACCAAGAGACTGCTGAATGTTGGGAACATTTCAAGCCTAGCCTTCCCAATCTTAAAATAGAAGAGGCTGAAGTTAACTTATTCATTATTGTATGATACTAAATACTGTTTAGTCTGTATTACTTCATTTGTTTGTTTGTTTTGTTGCCATGGCAATATCTGTAATAAACTCAATGATTTTCAATCTTAGTTTATACAATATATCCTTGTGCGTGATTATATACATTCGAGCATTCTCCTTTATTTGAAACTTCATCATGTTGTGTAAGAAACATTATATCTCATCACTATTATAAACAAAAAGTTAACAGCATCGACTATTTCTACACCATCATCATACACTACATCGTAGTCATCGTTCACAAATACAGTGAACAATGACATGAACAATGTGTGTGTGTGAATAGTAATATGAAAACACAATGTGTGTGTGTGAATAGTAATATGAAAACAGTCTGTGTGAATATTAACGGTGAGCCGTGCATGAACAATAACTTTTGATAGTAAAATAAAGTTGGTTAATGAAATGTAAAAAATTGATTAATGAAGTGATGAAGTTGGTTAATAAATGGCCAGATATTAAAAATAGTTTTTAGTAATAAAACAAAATTTACTAATAAAATGTAAAAAATTGATTAATGAAATTATAAAATTGGTTAAAAAATGCCTAGGTATTAAAAATAATTTTAATAAAATAAATTTGATTAAAAGAATATAAAATGTTGGTTAATAAGATTAAGAAGTTGGTTAATTATACAACTTTAAATCGGTACCCTTTAATCTAATATATATATATATATATATATATATATATATATATATATATATATATATATATATATATATATATATATATATATATATATATATATATATATATATATATATATATATATATATATATATATATATATATATATATATATATATATATATATATATATATATATATATATATATATATATATATATATATATATATATATATATGAAAATATTTTATTATTATAATGTTTCACGGTACTTGTGAATAGTAAAATACGATGTAGCCTAAAATTTTGTAGTATTATTTGAATTAATTAAAAATGAATGAAATATAATAGAATTTAATCGAATATATTTCATCCTATTTTATCACTTTTATATTTTTTGATTTGGTTGGAATGATAAAATTGCTTTATTCGATCGTGGAATACTCAAACAAAGGCGATCGTGTTGCAATGACCATTTTGAAGATGAATATCTAAATGAAATTGAGTCATGCAAGTACAATTTGCATGACAAATCATTTAGCTAAAGGGTGACTTCATTACATGATGATGCCTTGTGTTACAAGCTTTTTCGTTTTATTGAAACCAATTGAAAAAATGGGGTTCACTTCATTGAATAAAGGTTTATATGAATTTAATTTCTCCTTGACAAAGGTGAGAAATGTTAGGTCAATATCAAATTAGAACTTGCAACCGAGTTTATTGAAAAATTTTGCTTAGTCAAGTAATTAGAACAATTCACAACTCAAGAGTGGATGACAATTTAGGGCCTGTCACGGGAAAATTGGAGGTCCAAAATCTTTTTCACAATTGCAAGTAGTATTGGCATCCCCATATGCTCCAATGAAATCAGAAGCAAATCAAGATTTAATTGAACCTTTGACAAAATAGAATCATAGTGGATGTTGACCACAATGCTAAATTAAGGCATTTTTTAATACATCCTATATATTACGTGAAAATATAAAAAATTTTTTAGATTCTAGAGATGCATGTCCCAACGCACCCTAAACCCACACACACACACACGCACACACACGTACAAACGCGTGCACACGCGCCTGCATGCGCGTCATAGGCCAATTTATGAGTCACGCTCTTAAGAGTGTGACTTTTTTAGATCCGGAGATGCATTTTCGTAACATGTCTGTAGATGCATCTCTGTAGCACACTGAAACAGAAGCACAAAATCAAAAACTTGTATTTTGACAAAATAAAATTGTCATTCATAACATGATATCAGTATTACATAAGTGATGTTAACATAAAATCAAATATTACATTTTAATATCTAGGTGGACGCTTTAACATCTTCACAATATCTTTGACTGATCTTGAAATCGCCACTTTCACCTCTATCATAACTTTTGTTTCAAAATAGAAAAATGTATTCCATGTAGCCCTAGCATTTGCATCTGTCTTGAGCACATAATTGTTGAACTCAATCTTGTCTTCATTGTTAATTGACGGTGAATGACACTCAAACTTCACAACTTTTTTATTATCTCCGTAAGCTAGCAGATTTTGCACTTCATATTGCAGATCTGCAAAAGGGGTGTACTCATTAATCTTAAGTGTCACGTCGAAAAAGGAAACATTTGCGACATACCAGATGATGTTCATTTGCGATATTTTCTATTTGCATGAGACATCATACACGAGCCTATATTTATATTAGTTGTATACAAATAATGGACCTTAAAAATCCTATCATGTATCAGTGGAGGTTTCAGATATGCATCTTCGATACCACCCTATTATTTTATTCTGGAGATGCATCTCTGGAACCTCTCTTGATCTAGACAGAAAACAAAACATGTGTGTTTTGTTTAACAAATGGACAATTTTTTTTTTGGCAAATATCAAAATGTATCTAAATATTTGAAATGTTGCTCAATTGGGTGAACTCTTGCATCCTTTCCATAAATTGGTTCGATCAAGTCTCAATTTTGTTGTTGAATGAGTCGTCCACTCCACTGATGTAAGTGGTATAGAGCATCTCGATTTCAAATAAACTTGAACAAAGTGTCGTGATTTTCAGAGTCACCTAAGACACATAATACTATCATTTGATTTTGAGGTGGGGCGGTGCGCAGCGGGAAAAAGTTTTTGAAAAATTGAATCTTGTAAGATCAATACACACTTGCTATGAGATGACTCATTTCAGATAAGCACGTCCATTTTTCCTTCGATGTTGTCCCACTAATGTAAGTAATAAGAGACTCATAAATTGCGTCAAAATTATATTTCTCCGTAAAGTCGTCTGTATGACTCTTTATGGATTCTCAAATCATAGATAAGTTGATGGTGGATAAGTGTGTGATCATCTTCTCTTTTATCGAGCAAAGCCAAAATAGCTTGAAAATCGAAATTACTGTCACCCTCAACCTTGACGATCCGTTCGATGTATTTGTGGATAAAAATCGACATCTTGTCAATGAATGAAATTTTTTATGGAGGCGGTGAAGGAGTTGGTTTGCTAATGCGAGCTCCTTAAAAAACACTTTTTTTTTATAAAAAAAATGGAGTTGATGAGTTCGAAATAACTTTGTTAACATGTTCAAAATACAATCATGGATTCAAACAATTCAATTCAATGTAAAATGATCAAATTGTTATTTCAAAATGGTTTGGGACAAACCCTGTTTTGGCCATAATATACGATCACTCAAAACACAGAGTAGGGAAGAAGAAGATAGGAAGGTTAGGACCCCTCATCATCCCACTGCCTAAACAACCAATATGTAAAGAAATTTTCCCCTTATCTCGAAAGTGATTATTGTTGAATTTTCCTGCCGTTTGAAATTCCACCTCACTCTCCTTCCTACGATCATTCTCCTTAGGTTTTTTTGTCGTTTACTCTTCTCCAAAATTTCATGATCTCTCTAAAATCTCATCCAACTTATCTACTTATATTAACCCAATACATTTTTTTTATTTAAAAATCTAATATTATATTATTTTAATTAAATAATAATTCTATCAAATATTTATTTTATTTGAACTCCATAATTCACTAATTTAAAATAAAATTATTATTATTTTTTAATTATTCTAATTAATTTAATTATTCACCTCAACTCTGATATTCCTCTAAATTCTATCATTAATTAAATTATCAAAATATCTTTAATTTTCACAAAACACATTGAAGGCTCCTTGGTTTTGATTGACATTAATTTTGGTAAAACAAACTTAACTAAACATGTTGGACAGGATGTCCTAACATGATGATGAGCTTGAAGAACAAGATGTCCTAACTGTGTGGTTTGACATATGTGTCTATTACAGGGGTTATTTCTGTTTTGAATATGGTGATTTAACTCATATTACAGTTGATTGATGTTGTATCCTAGATGGCATTCAAATTAAGGAATAAGAGATTCTAGAGGAATTTAGAGTTGTGTCGTTTTCTAAAGTATGGAGACTTTTTAGGAAACTTGGGATTAAAGAATCTATTCTTGAGGAGAATATTTTGCAGATTCTGTGATGCAGAATTGCTGCTGTGTTAAAGCTCATATCCAGTCTTATTTAGGGTTATAAATAGGATATATTTAACCTAGTTTATGTATCGAAAATCATATTGAGTCTTGTGTGTTTTTAGGGTTTGTGCTTTGTGAGTCTCTCTTGTATTGTGTGAATACTTGAGTTGGACTGTTTTATTGAGTTGTAATTATTCAGTCACTGTTGTGATTGAAAGGGAACTGAGAATGGTCTCATGCCTAGGAGAGTCTTAGGTAGAAATATAGCACGGGTAGTGATTAAGTGACAAGTTGTAAACAGAGGAGTTTAGCTTTAAACTAATACTATTTAGTGGATTTCATTCCTGGCTTAGAAGCCCCCAAACATAGGTGAGTTGCACCGAACTGGGTTAACAATTGCTGCGTGTTTCTTTACTTTTTGCATTATGCTATTGTGATTGTTCTTATCATTGAGAATCAGAGATCAAGTGTCTCGACATCCTGTTAGGACATCTTTGTGATCTGCTATACCGGAATTTTAATTAGTATCAGAGCAGGCATCATGCTCTGTATCTGAGTGAGATTCAGGGACGTTACTTTTTAGTACAGTGGACAAGGAAGGAAGCATATTGAAAAGACCTCCTATTTTGGATGGATCCAATTATGAATTTTGGAAAATTCGCATGATGGCCTTTCTTAAGACAGATGCTAAGGCCTGGAAAGCTGTTGTCAAAGGGTGGGATCCACCAAAGGTGAAAGGTGTCGATGGAAAAATCACTGATGCTATCAAACTAGAGGAGGACTGGGATGATGAGGATGACAAGTTAGCTCAAGGCAATTCCAAGGCCTTGAATTCCATATTCAA